AGATTTTTTCATACTGTTTCTGAGATATTGCCATTTTGGTGAAAGCTCTTGAATTCAATCACGTATTTGCCATATTGCTTGCACATTGGGAGGTAGAAACATTGTAACAGCTTGCGCGTTAATGAGTTAATGCCCAGCATAAAACACGTAAAAGAGCCAAAACAAAAATATAGTTTAAAATATTTATTAGAAAGCTAACGTTTCGTCTTTAGCTTAAGACATCTTCAGAGCAATGACATGCAAAGGGGAAAACACAGAAATTACAACTATTTACAAGATATTATATTACAAAGGTAGAAAGACGAATGGATCAGAGTAGAAGTAAAGGGACCGAGCTGCCCTGTAAGTTGAGAGAGGGTTTGAGTTTGTTAATGAGAAGACTTTCTCGAATGAGGAGTTCGTCTGGAGAAGAGCAACAGGAAATAATCTTAAAATCATTAAGAGAGGCGGAGTGACCAGTGCTATCAAGATGGGAAAGGATACTAGACATGGTCGGATTGCTGCTTTTACTGCCTGTTAGAGGAGAAACACCCAAATGTTCAGAAACTCGTGTGTGCAAGTGACGGACCGTTTGGCCCAAATACGTTGCGGAACAGCAACAACACATGAAAGAATACACAACACAAGATCTTAAAGTGTTAGGAATTTTGTCCTTAAAGGCGAAGAGTTGAGACAAACATAAAGTTGGATGAAAAACGAATCTAATATTAAGATGGGGAAAGGCCGAGAAACAGAGACGGGAGATTTGGGTGCAAATCTGAAGAAAGTGAGCGCCAGTATATGGAAGAGAGAAATATAGGACTTTCTTAGGAGCAGAGTGAACAGCTGGTTTGGGTTGAGACACATTTTCTAAAAATGTTCGTATGCAGCGATCAAAAAGACAAGTTGGATAACAATTCTTATTAACAATCTGGCGGTATAGTTCTAACTGATTGTGAAAGTTCTCATAATTGGAGCAGAGAGTAAAGAAACTATGAATAAGAGAAGAAACTAAGCTATGTTTGTATTGAAAAGGAATAAAGCTACGGAAGTTGGTAAACAGACCTGTGAAGGTGGGCTTTCGATAGACGGAAGTTTCGAAAACACCATTCTTCCGAGAAATGCTGATATGAAGAAAGGAAAGTGTGGAACTAGATTCAACTTCACTAGTGAATTTAATATTAGAATGCTGGCGATTTAGATAAGAGAGAAATTAAGGTATATGATCAGCAGACTGGAAAATCAAGAAACAGTCGTCAACATAGCGGCGGTACAATAATGGCTTAAAGTTGACAGGACAGTTATTTAACCAGTTAGACTCATGAAAAGACAGGAATATATTGGCGAATAAAGGACCTAAGGGTGACCCCATAGCAACGCTGTCAATCTGTTGAAACAGAACCCCATTAAACAAAAAAGAGCAGTTTTTCACAGCAAGACCAAGAAGTTTCTTAAATTCCAATTGAGTCAGACCATGAAAGCGAACAGCATTAGAGAATAAATGGTTTGAAATTATGTCAATGGTTTTATCTAGACGAATGTTGGTAAATAAGGAAGTCACATCAAAGCTTGCCATGACAACATTGTTGGAATCGAGATTGAGTAATTCCTGGACAAATGAGAAAGAATCCGTAACCATATAAGCACCTGACGAAATGGGATTGAGGAGAGGAATAAAGAATTTAGCGATTTTATAGGAATAATGGTTTATACAAGAAAGAATGGGCCTAAGTGGGATATTGTCCTTGTGGATTTTAGGTAGTCCGTGTAAAATTCCTATCTGAGAACCAGTCGGATATAGTGTTTCATAGGTTGCGTGATTGATTCTGATTTCTTTAACGTCGACAGGAACCTCTTGATTTTGTTCTCGTGTTGTAACGTCAGTTTTACCGGGTCCTCGTCTAGGCGTTGATATTTGGTTTCATCTTCCAGTATGGCTTCCATTTTCTTGTTGTAGTCGTCCTTGTCAAGAATAACTACCCCATTTCCCTTATCTGGTTTGACAATCACAATATTAGTATCGTTTCTAAGGTTGTCGAGCGACTTTATTTCTTCCTTCGAGAATAAAAAGTCTGAACGGTTGTAGCTACGATAGCCAGAATACGTAACTTCAACTTTGCTTTAGCAGAAGCGGGAAAGTATCCAGACTTCTCATCCAGATGATACTAATATTGTGATTGTCAAACCAGATAAGGGAAATGGGGCAGTTATTCTTGACAAGGACGACTACAACAAAAAAATGGAAGCCACACTGGAAGATGAAACCAAATTTCACGCCTAGATGAAGACCCGGTAAAACTGACGTTACAACGCGAGAACAAAATCAAGAGGTTCCTGTCGACGTTAAAGAAATCAGAATCAATCACGTAAGCAACCTATGAAACACTATATCCATCCGACTGGTTCTTGGATAGGAATTTTATACAGACTACCTAAAATCCACAAGGGCAATATCCCACTTAGGCCTATTCTTTCTTGTATAAACCATTATTCCTATAAAATCACTAAATTCTTTATTCCTCTCCTCAATCCCATGTCGTCAGGTGCTTATATGGTTGAGGATTCTTTCTCATTTGTCCAGGAATTACTCAGCCTCAATCTCGATTCCAACAATGTTGTCATGGCAAGCTTTGATGCGACTTCCTTATTTACCAACATTCCTCTAGATAAAACCATCGACATAATTTCAAACCATTTATTCTCTAATGCTGTTTGCTTTCATGGTCTGACTCAATTGGAATTTAAGAAACTTCTTGGTCTTGCTGTGAAAAACTGCTCTTTTTTGTTTAATGGGGTTCTGTTTCAACAGATTGACGGCATTGCTATGTGGTCACCCTTAGGTCCTTTATTTGCCAAAATATTCCTGTCTTTTCATGAGTCTAACTGGTTAAATAACTGTCCTGTCAACTTTAAGTCATTATTGTACTGCCGCTATGTTGATGACTGTTTCTTGATTTTCCAGTCTGCTGATCATATACCTCAATTTCTCTCTTATCTAAATCCCCAGCATCCTAATATTAAATTCACTAGTGAAGTTGAATCTAGTTCCACACTTTCCTTTCTTCATATCAGCATTTCTCGGAAGAATGGTGTTTTTGAAACTTCTGTCTATCGAAAGCCCACCTTCACAGGTCTGTTTACCAACTTCCGTAGCTTTATTCCTTTTCAATATAAACGTAGCTTTTCAATATAAACGTAACGTCTTCTCATTAACAAACTCAAACCCTCTCTCAACTTACAGGGCAGCTTGGTCCCTTTACTTCTACTCTGATCCATTCCTCTTTCTACCTTTGTAATATAATATCTTGTAAATAGTTGTAATTTATTCATATTTCTGTGTTTTCCGCTTTGTATGTCATTGCTCTGAAGATGTCTTAAGTTAAAGACGAAACGTTAGCTTTCTAATAAATATTTTAAACTATATTTTTGTTATGGCTCTTTTACGTGTTTTATGCTGGGCATTAATATTTATCCTAAGATTACATTTATTTGTCTTTTTACACTTTCTGTATCAACAAAGTATGGATGTAAGGCCTCAGAGGTCCGTCAACATACGAGGACAAAAATAAACAACATGAAAGTGTTGCAAAGTACAGAAAAGCAAACAAGAACAAGAACTTATTTGAGGACTATGTTTTGAGGCCAGTTTTAAACTTAACTTTAAATGTCAATTATGGTTATTACCTATGGTTTAGCCCATTAAGTGCCAGCGCTCTGATAAATAAAATCGTCTGGTGTTAGACATAGTAAACTATAGTAAAATAATAAAGTAGGGCGCATCAGAGCGCAATGCGATTCAATGGATTAACTAGACACATATATAGGAATTAGAATATAGGCTAGTTAACCCATTCAGAGCCAGCATTCTCCCCTTGACATTCAAGTACAATTGTCTGGAGTTAGACAGAGTAAAATAGTCTTGCATTAGACAAAGTAAAATAGTCTGGTGTTAGACAGAGTAAAAAAATAAAGTAGGACACATGATATGGCATTGCATCTTAGTATAGCCAATTTCTCATATTAATATTTATATTTGCAATATTAATATATTTATATCTATTTTTTGCATTAAAAAATTACGAGTGATGAACAACATTGTGTCTCATTTACTATTTCATCTAGATTCTAGAATTTCTACAGGAATACCCAAAATCTTATAGGAAATTAGGATGAATTATTTTCTTATAGGAAATTCCTATAATAATTTGGGACTAGACTTGAGAATTCTTATAGGAATTTTTCCTATTAAATTCTTATAGGAATTCCTATAGAAAAAATTCCTATAGGAAAAATTCCTATAGGAAAAATTCCTATAAGAATTTGGGACAAAATTCCTATAGGAATTTTTCCTATAGGAATTTTTCCTATAGGAATTTTTCCTATAGGAATTTTTCCTATAGGAATTCCTATAGGAAATTTTTGTAAGGGTGTGATAGTTGGGAAATAGGCATATGTATGCAAGGAATTTAGAAATTCCTTGCTGTATTTACAAGTTTCATACTTTAAAAGATCAATGTTGAAATCACCCAGAATGCAGACAGTCTTACGTCGTTTACTAAAATTGTAGAGAGTTTCGTTTAGATATTCTTGAAATTTTGTTGGATCATTATGTTGTCAATAAACTACACCACAAACTATACCCTCCTTATGGTCCAAAAATATTTCAACCCAAAGTATTTGGTAATAAATATTAGATACCTTTTCCAAAGTATTATATTAGTGTAGGTACATACTCAAATAAATAGCCTGGAACATTAGGATTAAAATTAAATGGCTTACCCTTAAAGTGCCTATGAAATGAAATTTTTTATTTCAGTATTCGGTACTTTTGGCAACAGAGATTTCGAATTTGATGATAAAAATGTCAAATTTTAAAAGCAAACAGTAGTTTTTGCAAGCTTTTGTAACGTTTTTATGAATAAAAGTGGTTCGGAGACTGGGAACAAATCGAATGTGTGTGACGTAATTAGCAGGGCACGAGAAATTAACACGAGTCAACACAATACAAACAATATAGCACAATGTTGTCGACTGATAGTGATATTTCTGTTGCTGTTTCTGATTCAAGCGAGTATGTTTTTGGTGCTCATTATATGCCGTGTGAAGGTGAACCATTAGCTCCTGAGGGAGACGACTTAATGGACGATATAAGCAAGGAAACGACCAAGGAAGCCGATCTGGATGGCTTGACGCCGGCCATTCTCGAGGCTAGATATGACCGAAAGAATAAAGTTGTTTCTTGGTAGGTAGCCTTTTTTCAGTTTGATAGTACAAAACATAGTTATTTATATAGATAGACATTTGAACTTCAGTTGTTTTAAATAACTAAATTTGACAAAAACACTTGATTCAACTTGCTGCTTGAATTTGCTATACTTATACTGTAGGTGCAAATGTGGGAAGTGCTCTGATCAAAACTTGGTTGGTGCTCTTGAATACCGATGTTACCGTGAAATTACTGAAGCGCTTGGGAAACTGACATTCAACGGGAGCATCGAAAAAATTTCATGTTTGACATTGCCTGATGATTACAAGGCTATGACAAACGAGGCTGTGCTGGCTCAAGTCGGCCCTTTATTGAGACCGAAAAGGGCGAAGCTATAAATGTCGTTCAGGAACTCCTTACAAAGAGTAAGTGCGGATCATTTTATGCTGACAAAATTATAGAATTACTGCAATTTGATAAAATACTATTATATTTCGACAAAAAATACTTTCCAAATGTGGATAGTTTTTAATAGTTTAATACAGTAATAGAGACATGTTTATTTATATCAGATAATGCATATAATAATACGTTTCCGTATGAACTACATATACCAAGGCAAGCCAGAAGGGTACCTTTATAGTTGGTTTGCTTTGCTGAGGCTAGAGGTGAATTATAACATCTTACAGTTGCTGCATTGCTCTACTCAAACACAATAGTGATGTCAAGTACTATAACAGGCTAATACAGTAATCTCTAATGAAACTCAAACTGTGTGTTATACACTGAGATTTATATGGTGAAACTAAACTGTTTGGCTGGTCTTGCATTTTGGTACATTACATAGTGACCCTACAAGCCCTTCTTAGTCAGGAATAATTGAAAACACTGATGTTTCATCCCTTGAAGAGTGCGGGAACAAATCTTAAATTGATATAACTTTTACCTTGGTTTTACAGGTATATCCGTGCTGTTCGCTATAGGTGGTTGGCAAGATGGCTGTTTGGCTATATGGGCCCAGAAAATACCAGACCGTTGTCATCTTGTATTTATGAAGACATCAGAACAAGATACAATACTGGAGGCCAATCAGGTTATGCTGATGCAGAAAATCGAAGTTGAGGTTCATTCTGATCAATAGACCTTTTTAAAAAGTATGCCTTGTGACGTACTTTGCAGATAAAGGAAAACCCCGCACAGCCTTTTGTTTTGGCCAAATCAAATGATTGTATTTATCGGCAAACTACGTCACAAGGCAGACTTTTTAAAAAGGTCTATTGCGAGGTTCAGATATGATTTCTATACCATTCCCTTTTGCTGGTGTGTGTAATTGGTTAATCCAGTAGGCTAAACACATCCAATTGATTTATGGCCTCTTGAATGTGCAGTAGTGGTAGAAGAAGTCAAATATGAAACTCGTCCAGGCAGATATTCTCGTGTAGCAGCACGTCTCAACTACAAAACCAAATTTATACAATTTTAGTTATAAAATATAAAGCACATTAAACCAAACATAAAACACCACCTCAATACACAATACTTTGACATGCACGTGTATCTAAAATGTTAGGCCAGCTATTGCAATTAAAATGGTGATTCTACGACTTGATATTTGATACTTTAAAGGGCCATATTACAAAATAAACAAACAGTTTATAAGATAATAACAAGACAAATTTAATACATTAATACTTACAAGTCTCTTTTCTTTAGCAGATAAATTTGTGTCGCTATGAGCATTGACATCTTGTACGTTTTCAACAACGTCAATTGTTGGAACTGAGCCTCGAGTCAAGAAGCGCTTGGTGTTACTGCTATAGAAACCTTGTAAATTGCTCGCAAAACGCTTAGAGAAGCAAGCTCTCATCAAAATGTGCCGAGCACAACCATATTCGTGAAGAATACTTTTCAGGGTCAAAGTCAGACCGATGTCTTCGAACAAAACGAACCCATTGCCTTCGTACAGACAGATCTTTCGGAAAACAATGCATGCTAATGCCTGATGTGTCGCCACTATTTGTGCATGACTTCTTATTCGGCCCTCCAGCAACACAAAACACTTTAGAATTTTTCCCCCTCATTTGCACATGAATGAGACGTTTCCTCCATATTTGCGCAGCTATTATGTAAATGAAAATCTTTGTCTTGGATTGTTCAGCGTCGGCTGCACGTAGTATAATCTTTGTCTTGTATTAACGAATCATGCAGGCCTATAAAAGTTAAACGAAATCTCTTCTCGATGTTTCGAGCAAAGCCCTTTGTCATGTAGAATTAATAGGAAGGTTCTTCTTGACGTTTCGAGCGAAGGCCCTCCGTCATGGAGAGTTAGTAGGAAGAGCTCGGAACGTCGACATTTCATTTATCTTCTTTAGGCTTGCGTGATCATTTATACAAGACAGAGCTTAATACAGCTTATGTTAGTGAGTGTGCCCTGCTCTTTACATCACAGGAAGTAATTTGATGCCTTTTAGCCACACACAGACAGAACCACTTTTTGAAGACAAAATCGGCATGTTTAACCCTCAATAACTTTGTTTAATTGATTTTTAGAGCTTGCGTTTTTAAAATCGTCTTTTGTACATTAAACACTATAGGAATATCGAATAAAAAATTTCATTTCATAGGCACTTTAACAATTCTAGTTTCAGTTACTGCAATAGCAGTAAATTGAAAATTAATTTCACTTAACAAATGATTTTGGAAAGCCTCAAGGTTCTTTTTTAAACTGCGTACATTATTATGCAAGAACGATAATGAAACATTATTATGTGTATGTACTCCATTTTTACAAATATCGAAAGAGTGGGGCAAATAATAGGGGCAATCTATATGTTTTACATTATGCAAATTAAGGTCAGGGTTTATCTCATTATCAAATGTTGCATTTAGTTTGAACAAATTAAGATCTATAAATAAACATGGCTGGTTTTTTAAACTGTTTCTAGATGGTAAATTATTTGTATTAGTAAATCCTAAATCATTATCTGGTATAAATATTTTCATTGTAAAATGGTAAACATGAAAGCAGATATCGATTTTCCTTACTATTCTGCTTATTGTTATCATGATTAGAAGACATTGAATACTTTTTAGACATTATTAATAAACATTATATTAATGTGCATATCAACTTATCTTGCCATTGTGTAGATTGATTTATTTTGATTCGGCTAATTGTCGTAGGACATTCAGTGTCGTCACCTTGATTGGACCAGATAAAGCTGTCTTCCTTAGATAAACTACACAGTTTTTTGCCCAACAATACTCATAAGATGTTGTTTAGGTGTAAGGTGGTCGAACAGCATTATTCTATGGGCTGTTGTTTTTGACAATAATGAGAAACCAAGGTCCGCTGAAGTTAAGTTTCTTGTTTGTGATTTTGCTCGCATGACGGATTCCTTCGCCAGACATCTTACGAATTTGCATATAATTGGCTTCGGCTCATTAGATCTTCGAGAATTTTGTACAGGGACTCTGTGAGCTATATCAATGTCTGAAAGTGATATTTCAACTCCCATCGCATTGAATAGTTTCACACATATATATGTTTGTTTCGACATTTCATTACTTGATTCTTCGTGCACACCAATTATTTTTACATTATACTGGTAGCTATAGCTTTCCAAATTGTCTAACGCCGCTTCGATACATTCTGCTTGAATAGATATTTCACTTAGCCTTGAATTTAAACGCTGTAATTCTTTTTTATTATTGTTGTTTGATACCAGCAGTTCATCATACTTATCGCTAAGGAACTGCACTGAGTTATCTTTGTCTCGTTCTTCTTCTCGCTGGCTTTGATTTACCGTTTGTCTTTGAGTTACTTGAAGACAACTGCTCGCCCAATTTGTTAAAATCCTTCATCAATTTCTCGATTTGATTCTTCAGATCCTCATTTGCTTTTCTAAGGGGTTTTACTTCAGCCATTATAAAACTAAATATCTATGTTATCTTGAAATATTCTGATAACAGAGCTCAAAAAGCACGTCTTACTCCCAGCGCCAATGGTCCGGCCCATGTACATGCGACTATCGCTGTTTAGACAGCTACGGTTTAGTCATTTCATACCCAAGCATGTTTCACCACTAGCAAATATCAGAAATGTAATGAGGTGTGAGACATAGCTCTTGAACACACACAGATATAAATCCTAATGCACATTTAATTAAATACATTATACAGTGTGTATCAAAAAAGTATATATATTTCAAATTTAAATCAAGCATAACACTGTATTCTAATGAATTCATCTGACAAGCTATAATTGCTTCAAACAATTTACCGACTCATAAAACAAAAGACTTTTTACTTATGGGACATGTACAAATAACTCAAAGCAGTTGAGAACAATCAAATCACTTATAATTATCATTAATTTGAATTTGAAAGGCTATACTTTTTTTTATACACACTGTAGACTCTGAGGAATTTCAGCTAATTATCTTTTGTCTTTAACACATGAACATGGCAGTAGCGTGATGTTTGAAACAAGCATAATTTCCATGTTGTAATCCATCATATATCACTATGCATTATCAATATGCAATGGAGAGAATAATGATCCAAACAACAAAGTATTTTACTCGAAAATTACCCAACACAATGGTGCAAAATATTCCCGATATTAATATATATTCTCGATATAAAACTCCGAAGAACAAAACATGTTTGACCTCTTTTCTGTTTTTGCATATCTCACTTCAGTTTCAGTTATATGGGATAATGCTTGTCAGTTGTCACAAATATATTTTCTTGTCATCGGAAATGAATTAGCTTTAAGACAACTTTATAGAACTAATGTATTCAGAATATTACTTTCAAAGTTTAAGCCACGGCTAATATATTCTGATATCAATAGCTTAGCTAACAACTATGACCATTATTATAACAAAAGAATAAGAATACTCTGTGTCTAACAGATAAACGAAGACGATTTACTGTATCACTTACAATTTGCTAAATAGTACGAATATGTTTTAAAACCAGACAATCAACCCACCAGGCTCTTATAAGTCTCCGTGTCCTCACTGCCCTAGACAGAATACTTGGCAAATATATTCAACTGTTTTGAAAACATTATCATAACAACTGCCGAATGTGATGTGTTCACCAATTGTAACATGCTTCCGAGTATGATGTAGTAAGGTCCAAAACAATCAAGCAAGCAAGCAATCGACACAATGACATAGTTGGCTATCGCTCAAACGATAGTCACAAAAACCATGCAATTGCTACACAGCACAACCAGGTGAAAATAATTTAATACCTGTCCCCTGTTCACACAATATGGGTTGGCAGAAACGAGAGAAAGGGTTCAACTCCAAGGCCAGGAGCAGTTATGTGATTACATACTGGAAAAATTTTTGAATATATACCCACAAAAAAACAAAACATGTGATCATGCTCGTCGGACGAAGACAACCCCAACCAAACATGTTCATCAAAGGCTATGCAGCCAATTTCGCCTGTTGAACTCTTCAAAAATGCTCCCAAACAAGGTGTACTGTATTCAGCATACACAGGCGATGACAATTCAACAACAGAAAGCTATCTTCATCAGAAGGTTCCTTATGGAGTAGAGAATTCAGCAATATTATCCACATGTAACAGTCTCTCACAACCAGGTTATACAACCTCAGCAAAATAGGAAAATTCACCGAACAATCACCATTGTCATCAAAACAAATTGAATATCTAGTCAAATGTTTTTCAATTGTAATCGGCCAAAACAACAGAGATTCATTGTCCATGCAGTCATCAATGAAATGCATTGTCTCTCGTGCATTTGGCAACCATTCCTGTTGTAGCGAATCATGGTGTGAATGGAAACGTGATTCGTCCAATTACAAGCATACCAACCTTCCATATGGAAAAGATTTGCATGGAGAGCCATTAAAATCGGCCCTTGAAGATCTGTTTGCCCAGTACTACACTGACAATGTAATTACCAAACTTGCTCCTGCTGCAAACTCACAATGAAATGAGTCCTTCAGCAGTACTGTAGGCTTGAAGAATCCAATTCGATTCTATGGAGGAAGTGAGAGCAATTATTTCCATGTCGCCTGTGCAGTGACTCAAACAAATGTCTGGCCCACAATTTGTTATAATTTTGTCCACAAAAAAATTGACAAACATGCTTCAAGGGTGAAGAACTCTTGGTAAAAACTCTGAATGGGAAACAGACAGTTTTTAAAGAAACAACAGCTCTAGAAACCCTGAGCTGTCCTGCTTTATTATTTACCTAGAAACATCCATTGACAATCTCAGAAGAGAAACAACAAAAGATATTTGTAAGATTCTCTCCATAACTCCAAGTGATTTGACATTCCAATTTTTTGGGCCTCAGTTGCAATGAGGTTCATGCAAAATTGCAAGCATTGGGAATTTGGTTTGGTGAATACCCTTTCCCTGTTCGATTTTCATTTAGTGAAAAGCAAACATGAAGTACTGAGTTTAATGGTCAAAGTTGTTCATCGAATGAATTTGCATTTTACGACTGTTTATTCAATTAGACATTTGATGCACACTATGCCTTAGAAAATGTTATTGCTCTACATTGAATTCTGTTTGCTTGACCGCTTTGTCTTTTGAAAGAAGACATCGTATTGCATTGCAAGCCTGTGTTGAGTTCTGATGCACTAAATGACTGCCAGTACTTGGACAAATGGCACAAACTACTGCAGACGATGAAAGGTAAACTGCTCAAATGGTAATCTTGTTGAGTTGAAATTTTGTCACATAAACAAAAATTTCATTTGATTGTGGAAATTTTGTGATGCATCAACATTTTTCCCCATTGGTCAATTTTTCTGAAATTTTGTATTTTGGGAGTACTAGTCATTTATTGCAATATATTCAATTTTTAAAAAATTCCATAAACAGTTTTGGTGGAACAAATTTTGAATAATATCTCAAAAACTGAATTAATAACCCTCCTAATTTTTTTATATAATCTTCCCACTAGATATTCCTTTTACACAATTTGCTTCTTTCGAATGATTATGCCTGAAGTATAAAGATTATGTAACCGTTTCTATACTTACTTTCTTTACAACTATAGGGAAGGACCTTAAACATTGTTTCAATACACGTTTACAAACAATATATTTTATATACACTGTAAATTTCAGGGAGTAAAAAATACCCCCAAAATATGGGGCAATTTCTACACCTCTCTCTAAAGAAGTAATTTTACCTCATACAACGATAGGGGTAATTTTTACACCTCTCTTAAGGGAGTAATTTTTACCCCATATAAAATTAGGAGTAAATATTTTACTCCCCAAAACAACACTGCAAGGGGAGCAATAATTGGCAAATTAGCATGAACAAATTGTGTGCATGCATTACTTACACAAATACGTATAACAATCAACTAAAGCGGGATATTTAGTGAAATTTCTTTTGTATTCTTTGTGTAAAAGTCATAAAAACTGTTATATCTAAACATTGTGAGTTATTGTCGGACAACAAGCAAAAATTCCCGACAAAGTGGCGACCCCGGCTGGATTTTAACATCGAAAAGCAGCGAATATCGTCATGAAATAATAGTGTTTAGTTAAAAGTGAAACCAGAGAAAAATCAATCATTAAAGATGTCAACCGTGAAAGATTTGTTGCATAAAGTCGAAGGTAAGCTTCGAATGCTGAAATTTACAAGTGATGAGACCCCTAGTGTTTTGGAAGAGAATAAACAAAAACAAATTGAGAGACATGCCAAAGTTTTAGAATCGTTAATCGAGGAAGTTCATGAATTAAAAGTGGAAGTTCAGAGAGAGAGAATTGAGAAAGGGGATGACCCCACGGAAGTAAGAACATGGAGCTGTGACTTAGAACAGGCAGTGCTTGAGTATGAAAATGTTATAAGTGAAACAGCAGCATGAGAAACTGTGCGAAATAGAACTCCAGAAAGCTAAAAATAAGGAGACAAATTGAAGAAGAAAAGCATAGGAAGCGTTATGATGAAGAGATGGCACTAGAGGAGGCTACACTGGAAATGAAACGAAAGTTTGAGAAGGGATTAGAGGAAGTTAAAACGAAGTCTGCAAGCCAATGTAATTCAGCCAAGCTGCCCAAGTTAGTTATATCTAAATTCCAAGGAATCCACTTGGACCGGCAGAGATTCTGGGGGCAATTCGAAACAGAAATTGACAAAGCAGACATCAGCCCCATTACCAAGCTGTCATACCTTAAAGAACTGCTTCTTCCCAAAGTTTGTGCATTTGTTGATGGTCTGCCCTTTTCTACTGAAGTGTATGAAAGAGCAAAAACTATCCTAAAGACGTGGTATGGGAAAGAAAGTGAAGTTGCAAATGCCCACATACAGAGCATTATTTTCTTGCCAACAGTACCTGGGACCGACGCAAAAAAATCAACCGTTTCTTTGAAACATTGGTTGCAAATACACAAACATTAGGTGAAAGAAGTAAAGGGTTTTGTACGAGGCACTCTGGACAAATTACCTGGTATATGGGCAGACTTAGGATGGTCGGTCGGATGATTGACAAGAGTGGGGGTTTAGCGAGTTGGTAGAAGCAATGGTGTGTGAGGAACCCCATATCAGAGGAAGATCGTAAGTCGGATCACAAGGGTACCAGCCATTATCAACCAAAATCCGGGAAGTTTTTTTACATGCCAAACAGGATTTGTGGAAACCGAAGCCGTGTGCGTTCTGCGAGTCAACCCTACACAAATCTGTAGACTGCAACCAAGTTGTGGACGTTCCATCTCGAAAGAAGATCTTGTCAGAGAAAAAGCTATGCTTCAACTGCACTGGTGTCAAACACCGGGCATCCAAATGTCGAAGTAAAACAACTTGCTTTCGGTGTAATGCGAAACACCACACCTCTATTTGTGATGACCAATCGAGTGTATCTAAACAAATGATGTTGGCTACTGGTAAGGGACAGTGGTATATCCAGTTGTTGTAGCGGTTGTTAATGGAATAAAATGTAGAGCCCTCTTGGATACAGGAGCTGGCAGTTCTTATATCTCTGCAGAATTGGTAAAGCTCCTAAAGAAACAGCCTTCACGAACTGAATAACGGCGTATTGACATGACGATGTCATCTACAACCCAGAGAATTGAAATCTACAATGTAACTGTGGCTGATGTTAGAGTTTGAAATGAAAGCCCAAGTGAGCAAGGTTGCCAAGAGCGTTCTCCTGTCTATACCCAATCCTGGTTATGCTGATATCCTTTCCCAGAACCACCATCTACGCGGAGTCAAGATGGACACCAAAGCTGAATTACCCAATTACCTCATTCTTGGGGCAGGTGATTATTCTAGAATCAAAACCACCACCAAGGCTAAATTGGGTCAGCCTGGCTAACCAATTGCCGAGCTCACCTTCTTGGGTTGGACAATAATGTCAGCTGGAGAGGAAGTCGATTTCAGCAATGTTTATCTTACCAAATCGTCTGCTGCAGACTATGAAGATCTGTGTTCCCTGGATGTTTTGGGTCTTAAGGACCACCTGGAACAGGATCAGCAGTTTGTATAAGGAATTCCAAGAGCAATTAACACAGAGTGATGAGGGATGGTATGAAACTGGTTTGTTGTGGAAGCCTGGTCATGAGCCATTACCAAGCAATGAAAGAAACAATTTAGGATGGTTGTCAGGGTTATTGAAAAAGCTTCGAAGAGATCCAGAGTTGCTGACTCAATATGACGACATTATTCGTAACCAACTGAATCAAGGTATTGTGGAGAAAGTTGCTAACGACCCGGTAGGAAAGGAATTCTATCTACCTCACCGACCAGTAATCCGAAAGTCTGCTGAGTCTACCAAGGTGCGGATCGTGTATGATGCGTCTTCCAAGGAAAGTGATAGCAGTCCATCATTAAATGACTGTTTGGAGACGGGCCCACCATTGCAAAATCTTTTATGGGACGTTCTCGTGAGGAATCGTATGAAACCAGTGGCATTGAGTGGAGACCTTAAGCAAGCCTTTCTTCAAGTTCGAGTACATGCCCAAGATAGAGATTCACTAAGATTCCATTGGATCAAGGACAAGGACTTGTCAACTGTTGAAGTTTTAAGATTCACTCAAGCACTGTTTGGCCTCGTTCAGTCACCATTCTTGCTGGGAGGGACTATTCAATGTCTCTTGGAGAGTATGCATCAGAAGTACCCTACAGAAGTTGCGGAAATCGAGAAAAGCCTCTACGTAGATGTCATTAGTGGGGAGAAACTACAGAAGCAGTCCATAGTTTGAAAGCAAAGGCAGTGGAATTTTCAAGCAAGGGAAGTTCACTTTACACAAGTGGCACTCTAACAAACCAGATTTGGAAGGGGGGAGCCAGCCCCCAGAAGTTAGTCAAAGTTATGCCAAGGAACAGCTTAGTGTCAAACCGGGTGAAACAAAACTATTAGGACTCCCCTGGAATAAAGCAAGGGACACGATCGCCACAGTCTTTCCAAATAACATGCCTGTCACAACAAAAAGAGAAATATTGCGATTTCTGGCTTCCATCTACGATCCCCTTGGCATAGTTTCTCCCATATTGCTTGTTGGTAAAATCATCTACACTGATGTATGTGATCAACGTTGGCCTTGGGATGCAGAGTTGTCACCCCAGATATCTAACCGTTGGAGAAAATTAGAGAATGCCCTACCCGACAAGGTTGAAGTACCACGCACCATCACCCTCTTTGAGCAGCTGATTGAAGCAATCCATCTTCACACGTTTGGTGACACCAGTTCAGAAGGTACGTGTACAGCAGTGTATGCAGTTGTGCACCAGCAACCTGGAGTCAATCAAGGTTTAATAGCTGCTAAGTCGAGACTTGCGAAAAAGAATTTGACTATCTCACGATTAGAGCTTGTATCAGCATACATGGCATTAACCCTTGTCAGCAATGTCAAGAACACTCTGAGTTATCCAGTTACGTCTGTCTTTAGTTGGTCAGAGAGTACTATTGCCCTTTATTGGATAAAGGGAAACAGCAACTACAAACAGTTGGTCGCGAACAGAACAAGGAAAATCAATGCCAAGGATTATATTCAATGGAGACGTGTTGGGACACCCCAGAATCCTGCAGACCTTGGAAGCCGCGGATGTTTACCAAACAACCTGTCTGAGTCGTGGTTGAAAGGGCCAGAGTGGCTGCCTTCTCCTGATCAATGGCCTCAGGACATAGTTGCACAACCCGGTAAAGAGTCTGTGTCGACTATGCAGGGCCCCTCATCTATAAGATCAATAAGACAAAAGATGGTAAAGCGTATATCTTGCTCTTTGCTTGCAGCCTCACTCGTTCTATTCATTACTTCCTGACCAAACTACTGAGAATTTTATCAAAAGTTTCAAGCAATTTATTGCACGAAGGGGACGTCCATGGAAAGTTTACTCGGACAATGGTAAAACTTTTGTTGCAGCAGCGACAATGGATCAGTAAGATAATGAAAGACGAACACTTTCCAGACTACCTGGCCCATCAGCAAATCGTGTGGCAATTCAACTTGAGCAAAGCCCCGTGGTGGGGGGCCAATTTGAGAGAATGGTAGGACTTACAGGACGATTGGTCAAGCAAATCTGAGATGGGACGAACTCGAAGAAGTTAGCTTGGAAATCACATTAAACAATTGACCGCTAACTTACCAAGAAGATGATGTTCAGTTACCAACTTTAACGCCAAATGTTATGATGTTCGGACAACCCAATAATCTACCGAAAGAAGATGCTAGTGAGATTGAAGACCATCCGTTGAGAAAGCGACCCAAGTACCTAGCTCAATGCAAGGATGCCTTATGGTCCCGTTGGACTAACAAATACCTGCGAGGTCTCAGAGAAAGACATGATCTTTGAGGTGGGGAAATAGCAAATATCAAAATTGGTCAAGTTTTACTTATCAAAAACGATGAGCGAAACCGCAGCAAGTGGAATCTAGGTGTTGTTGTTAAACCAATTAAAGGTCAAGATGGTGTCATTAGAGCTGAACGACTACGAACGTGCAGTCCAACAGCTGTATCCAGTGGAGCTGGAATGTGATGATCCTCCAGTGAAAAAACCAGCAGTTACAATGAATGCAGAAGCAAGGGAGTTCTGACCAAAAAGAAAAGCCGTGAAACAAGCGAGAAACTATTCAAGAACATTGTCGAGTTGGAACTTGAAAGCTAAACATAGAACTCATAATTTTAAGACTTTGTAGTTGTTCATATTTGATCTTTCCTAATCAAATGGGGGGAGAGTGTTGGAAAGTGCGTACATTTTAGAAGTATTAACATTAAGTAATATATGTAGTTACCGCTGTTCAGTGGGACTGTAGTAAAAACAACAACGTTGAGCGTACATATAACAATCAACTAAAGCGAGATATTTAGTGAAATCTCTTTTGTATTCTGAAAAAAACTGTTATATAACAGTTACATAAAAACTGTTATATCTAAACATTGTGAGTTATTGTCGGATAACAACCAAAAATTCCCGACAAAGTTGGGGATTAAAACAAGACTTGATTACAGGTATTCATGCATGAAGGAAAACATAAAAAAGTTAATACCAGCTTATGTCATGTCGTGGTCACCACACTTGCCTTTCAAGCTACAACCTGGGTTCAATCCTTGGTCGGACTACTATACTCAAGGCCTTGCAATAATCGAGGAGAAAGATCTACCTTTACATTGATATCAGTAAGTACCTCGGATTCCCTATCAATTGGGCAATTGAGTGAGAAATTCATTATATACTCAATGAATCTTGGTTTTCACAATACGTTTGTCTATCTTGGTTTTCACAATACGTTTATCTATCTTGGTTTTCACAATACGTTTATTTTCAGTTAGATCATCAAAGCTATAGCAATGTGCATGCATAGAACAACCTCATAACTATATACCAAACATCATTTAATATATAGAATCTTGCATGAAGCTGTGATAT